TATATAAATATATTTTGCAAAACAAATTTCAACGGTTGAAATCGGCTGCCGTCAGCTTTGGTTTCCATCAGAGAGAGTGCGTCCCCGATCATTCACTTTTCCGACAAAGGGGCTGATCTTGTTACTATGATCACCCACTCAGATGAATTCTTAGACTGTCCCAACATACCCAGGTTTTGACCACCTCTACGGATCTCACTGATTGGCATATCAAAGACAGCCCAATCTGACACCTAGTGCAGTATCATAATCGAGTCTAGGGTCAGGTTTAACATTCCAGTTTTGCCCATCTATCTCCAAGGTCTGGGCAATACTAGAATTCTGGTCCGGTTCAAGGTTTCAAGAAAACCCACACTACATGTACCTCAGGTCTCACCCTGGCAGCTGAGACAAGGTAGCCCAACGGCTGTGATCTATCCAATGGCTGTGAAGATTCTAAACTAACACAAGTCTCATATGTGTCCAGTTTAAGGGTATTACACAAAAACACTATAATAACATGCATCAAATATATACTTTATTCATTTACATTAAATGTCATAAGGTACATCATTCTAATTGGATCTAAGAGCATACACTGTCTAACACAAGTTAGTACAGGTGTAGCGAGTGATGGACGAGGCTTGAGGTTTGGATGCTCAAACGAGGCCACAAGGGAGGCAAGGAAGTTCTTAGCAGTAAAGAGTCTAGATGCTTACCTTGGAGGGTCACTCCCTATTTATACTTGAGACGACTTGGAGGTAGGTGGATGCAGATTGCCAAGATGCAGTCCGGCCTTGAGGGTGCGGCCATCCGAGGCCGTCACATGCAGCCGCGCTATTGGCCCCATATCATGCGTCGGCCTCTGCTCTATTCACGCTCTCATTGGGTCCTCTCTGTGTGCCGCCTTTTGCCATGCGCGTGCGTGCCTACATCAGGTCCCTCGCATTTCCTAACTGAAACTTTATCACTTGACTGTACTGAGCAGTCTATGAATAATGAATTGAGGCCTCTGCAACCTACATAGAGGCTGCTATTTTGCCTTAAAAACAGGTGGTGATTTCTTGATTGATCCGATATATTAGTTCGTGTGAACCAGTCCAATTTAACCAATTTGGTTTGATATAGAAGGTTTAATTAATCACTTTTTTTTTTTATCTTTAATTTATGGACAACAAGTTTTTTTTTTCTTCCTTGATAATTACCATCGGCATGAAGCTAGGTTTATCGCTTGAGATACCCTATCTTAAACGAGAAAGGGTTTCATTGTTCTACACTTCGACCCTGTTTATGTTTTACGAATCCGAGCAGATCTTCCAGATTCATGAAACTCGGTTGCCCCTGCCGCTACTAGTCCCATTCTATCTTTTTAAGAACTGAGCTAGTTTGTGATTCATAAATGTATTATTTCATGTCCATATTTTTTTTCTATATTTATAAGTTCAAAGAGTGATCACGTAATTTATAATTTTTTTTTTCTCTATTTCAAAGATGGCGAGATGAACTTGATTAATCAACCCAAAGAGCCAAAAATACCTATAGAATCTGAATCTGAAACCAAGGCCCTTGAATTTGATCAGACTTCAGTTGGACTTAGATGTAGCTGGATCCTATCCGAGTTCAACCCAATTACAACTCCAATGATCAAGAAATTACTATAGAATAAACTTTTGAGGGTTGAACAATTTAACTGCTAACTATATATATATATACAAAAGTGGTCCTCACTCCTCGATATGATCAATGGACTCTATCCGAGCTGCTAGTTCAGCAAGTTGTCCTTTCACACTGAGATCGATGATGTGGGATCTGTCTTTTCCATAGCAGATAACGAACCCTGCAATCAGGGATGGATCAACATAGCTTTCGAGCCTCACATTTCTGAATCCTGTTAACCTCCTCATTTTCCTAGCAATCTGATCCTTCTGTTTGCATTCAAGCTCAACAGCGGAGAAAACAGCCAAGACCAGAGTGTCATTTGGGTTGAGGCAAATGAAGCCAGGTTCTTCCGCATCATCTTTTATTGCTTCGTAATTCTCCTTATCTACGAGGGAACCTAACAAGCCTGGAGCCAAGGGATCGGACTCTGTAATATTGCTTTCCACATTATAAAGTAACTGAGATAGAGTAGTACTTATGGAGGGATCGGACTCTGTACGCGTGCAGGCCGTGAATTCTTGTGGAGGGCTATCATTCGTAGAGCTTAAAAAAATTTTGTTTGACAGGGATAACTGGGATGACCTCAAGGAATGTGATCCAAATAAGAACGGAGCCACTTGAACTTTCTGGAAACTTTCTTGAGATTTGGAGCTTGGCTTTGGGGGGAATGCAGACTGCCCATGGGGTATGATGGACTGGTTCAAAATATTCATCTGCCAGAAAGCTATTTGTCAGTTTAACAACTCGAGACAAGTGTATCAGAGATAAGAAAGAAAATATTATGGTTAAAACCTAAGACTAATTATATGATCTTATATAGTTAGGCCTTTCTCATTATTTCAAACTACTAGCTGATGATGTATTTCAATTTGTTTCATACTGGTAATTCTAATTCGACCCAGGTCAGTGTCCAGGAAAGAACTGTGTCCTGCTTTCAATTTCAGAGAAATTGACCAATTAGTGGCTGTTATTTCTACAATGTAAAGTGCATCATATTCTCTGCTCATCTTCTTCTTAACTGAGGTTTGGAGGGGGAGAAGGCGTGTAACAGCCAACCGGGACAGAAAGTGGAAAATTGAAAGTAAATTATAATGATCCAAGAACAGTTCAAGGAGGAATTAAGAAAAAGAACAGTTCGGGAGTGTGCATACTTCCAGTGGAGAGAAAGATAAATTGAAAAACCATGTTCAATTTTGTTGTAACAACACGCACCAGGAAATAGCTGTAAGAAAAGAAAACGTAGCAGGAAAAACAAAACAGAAAACAAGAACCGACCTTGAATTTGCAAAGCTAATTATGGCTTCTCCTCTTTGATTTTCCACTCTTTTCTCGGCTAATACAACTTTCTACCTATTAGCAATCACGAAAAACCTGCAAGAGAATTTGTTCAGCTCTGTAACCGAACGAGAGAACGAAGAGGGGGAGAGAGGATAAACATATGTATTTATATATAAACGTTTGGATAGCCAAAACTGCCTCACGTTATCCACTGCTTGTGAATGTCCATCAATCCCTCGCCATCGATGCTTTTAAAAGTCCTCTGCTGAAACGAGAAATCCTGACAGTGGAATAACTCACGCCAAACCAACTTATGACACGTCATCTTGAAGATGGATAAAAAGGAAATCAATATCCATAATCCCATCCATACATTTAAGAGCTTTATTGGAGAACGGATTTGCTCCTAACTTACAGAGCGCGCTTTCGAGTTGCATCCATAAATTTAAGGAGACCGGATGTGCTCCTCACACCGACATCACATGCACATCCTATCGTTGCATTCGTAACATCTTCCGTACTTATAAGCAATTCAAGGAGATGTTCCCAATGCACAGTGGATGTGCCTGTAAGGCGCCTTGTGTGACTAGCAGATCCGGTTCCAAATTTAAGATGCAAGATGTCCTCCCAACAAAGAAGAGACACTTGGGCTGCATTTAGCATTCCTTTTTTTTAAGGATTTATCTCATTTTTGTAGTTAAAAACTCGGTGTTCATAATGACATTTTAATAACAAAAACAAGATAAGTCCTTAAAATAAGGACTGCCAAATGCAGCCTTATCCCACACCAACTGTTACCTCCAACGTGTGAAGAAACATATAAACATCTTGATGGAGGATGATTTGACCCGACCTATGAAATGATGACATGTGGACCTGACTCAGCACGGGCAACAACATAACATCATGGTCTGGCAACGACTAAGTAACGAGCCTATAGGACAGCTCGCTATATCATAGCTTAAAGAAGGGGGAGCTCGTTGCAACGCGAGCTCCGGGTTCCCCGAGCTACCCCGAAGGGGATATCCCGAGGCTACTTCAGCTCGCGAGCTAAGGAAACTAGCTCGCTCCAGCCCCTAAGCAGATGCCATCCCAAGGGACCAACTCTAATAAGGGTAACCCCGAAGTATCCCTAAGCTCGCTACAAAGTAGCTCGCAAGGGAGCAACAAAAACGTTTCTCAGGAAGCTTCTATCTGACAGGCCATACCATTTGGACTGCGCCACGTCTCTTGACTGACGGCGCAGTCCCTGTCCTTTTGACAATTTGCACCCACGTCTTTCAGCAGGCGGGGGAATGCCTTCCCTTTTAAGACGTGTCACTCATCCGACCAAGAGGAGCGTTGCAACGATCACCTGTGCAGCCTTGCTAGGTAACGGCTGTGGCAGGGGTCCAGTGGCAGTTACACCCGATTTGACAGTAACTCCCCTATAAAAGCCCCTGGCGCAAAGGAGAAAGGCTCTCTCTCTGAGATTTTCGAATACTTACGCACTCGCATATCCGCAACCAGAGTCTTTACTTGCTTGTGAGCTAACCTCTCGAGCACAGTGATAAAGCGCGACCTACACTCTTAGCTTTCACACTCTCCTATTTCTCCTTCCCCAACGTTCTGAATTAAGCTTCAGAGTATTCCCACCGGGTAAATCCCCAGGAATCCTTCTTTCCATCTTCTAAGGTGTCGTCCGTTGCCAACAAGGAGCCAGTCACAGCCAGCTAGGAGTGCCTGGATTGTGCCGCATCATTTGGTGTCGTCTGTGGGAAACGCTTCTAAAAGCCTTCCTCCAATCTTTTACAACACTTCTCTTCCAAAATACTTAGCATTCTTCATGGCTTCTTCCAGCAATGCTGGACGTGGCAACAGCCAAAACGCTAGTGGGAAGCAGCCCCAGCTTCCTACTATCTACATTGGACAGTTTACCGTCCCTCTCTCAGCGGACAGAGTTCCTAGTCTGAACACGCCTCTTGCAAGGGCACCTGTTGGTGCTCCACTCCCTACTATAGCCGGAGCAACCTTCGTTGAACCCTCAGTTGCGCCCTTAGCGACCAACCCGAACCAACTAGAGGACTTGGTGCAGTGCATGCGGGCCATGCAGGCTCAAATGCAACAGTTTCAGCAGTTCCAACTTTACCAACAGCAAGTGCTGCACCTGGTCTCCCAATACCAGTACCAGCAGCAATTTCCCTCACTACCTCAGGCCCAGCCGCAAAGCAGGCCAAGCCGTCCCGCTGAGGTGAGCGATCTCGCAGGGGAGAGGCATCCCAGGTCCAAGATCCTACCAGAAGCCAAGCCTCTTTCCGCAGCAAGAAGGAAAGCCCGACAGCCCCCGCCTCCCGGCCTATGGGTAGGACCGGGGCCTCCCAGCCAACTAAGCCCGCGTCGCCACAACCCTCACAGTTCGAGCTCCCGCTCACAGAGAACCCGTTCGAGGTCTTGGCCACGGACCTTAGACAAGGCCCTTCAGTCCAAAGTCATCACCAGTAGTCCGAGCCGATCGAGCTCGGAGACACTGAAGCATCAAGCGCCAACGCCGAACCAGCAAAGCAGCAGCAACGAAGACGCCGGCGAGCCCGCCGCACCGCATCCAGAGCCTCTCCCGAGCTCAAAAGGAAAGAGGAGGTATGCTCTGGCAAAGTAAGAGCTACCCCCCTCCTTTCAGTTTCTTCCCCGCTATCTTCTGAACTCCTCGTTGTCCCCATGCCAAGGGACTTCAAGCTCCCTCCTCTAGATAAGTAAGATGGGTCTTTCGATCCAAACGACCATGTGGACGCCTTCTAGTCCCAGATGCATTTGGCCAGAGCCAGCGAGTCTTGCATGTGCATGGCCTTCTCCACCACCATCAAGGGAGTCGCCCGCACCTGGTACCGAAACCTCGCGCTCGGCTCAGAAAGAAGTTGGGCGTAGTTCGTGCAAATTTTCACTTCTCACTTCGTCACCAGCAAGAGGTGCCCGCGAACCCAAGGGAGCTTCCTCAGCATAGTTCAGAAAGAAGGGGAGTCCATCCGGAGCTACATCAAAAGGTTCAATGATGCTTGTTTGCAGATACCAGACCTGGATCTTGCAGTTCGCCTCACGGCAGCCAAGCGAGTTATCACTCATAAGGAGTTCAAGTGGCACGTGGTTGTCAACCAACCCAAAACCGTGACCGAGTTCCTTAAGCTCGTGGATCAATTCATTGGAACAAAGGAAGAGATTAACCAGAGGGGTGAGTAGGCCCCAGAAAAAAGAAAAAGGGAGTCGGAGCCCCCGTCCCAAAGAGACAGCAAGAAGAAGAAGGATGTAGCTCGGGGGGCAAGGCCGGTCCAGCCCACCCGGGCCCCAACAGCAGAAAGGGACTACACACCCCTCAACACCAAACGGGTCGAGATCCTCATGGCGATCAACGACGCCCCCGTATGTGAAGTGGCCACCACGGCTGAAGGCCGACCCCAACACCCGGAATAAAAATTTGTATTGTAGTTTTCATAAAGATCACGGTCATAGTACCGAAAGTTGTAAGAACCTCCGCGATGAGATAGAAGAGCTCATCCGTCGCAGATATTTGCGAAATTTTGTACAAAGTAATAATAGTAATAATAGTAATAAATCAGGTCGACAGGGGGAGCAAGGCAGAGACACCCCCGAATCAAGCCGACAAGTGGAGCAACCACAGAAGCCGCCCCCCAAAGAGAGATCTGTTCAAGGGATCATCCATGTCATAGTCGAAGGATCGATTGTGGCAGGTTGCACTTCAGCAATAGCTCGCGCGTCAGCTCGTGAGTCCAGCAGGGAAGAGTAGAACCCTCCAAAACGGCCAAGAACAGAAGACCCCATCTTCTTCACAGAGGACGATGCGCGCGGGGTCCACTACCCTCATGACGATGCACTCGTCATAAAGACGAGGGTCAATAACTTTGAAGTCAAGCGAGTCCTCGTTGATTCAGGCAGTTCAGCAGACATCCTCTTCAAAGCGGCCTTCGACAAACTCCAGCTTCAGGAGAGCGACCTAAAGCCCGCAAACACTCCCCTGGTCTGCTTCAGCGGAGAGGAAGTTCGGCCTCTAGGAAGAGTGACAGTACCTATGGAAGTCGGCACCTGGCCTAGCATTGTAAGGCTCAACCATGAATTCTTGGTGGTCACGACCCCCTCCCCATATAACGCCATAGTAGGTCGGCCGATTACCCATGTCTTACGGGCTGTGGTGTCCACCTACTACTTGGCCATGAAGTTCCCCATGGACTTCGGTATCGGGGTAGCGCGAGGTGACCAGCTTGAGTCCCGCAAGTGCTACGTCGCCGCCCTCAAGGGAAAAGCTAAGGTGGCCAACGAACTCGAGTTGGAGCGGCCTACAGAGCAGGGCGAGGAGCGAGCTGCACCCACGGAGGAGACTATCTCCATTTCGACCTCGGCAAAGGACCCTACCCGAACACTTCAGATCGGCGCTTCCATCAAGGAGCCCCTGCAGTCCGAACTGGTACGCTTTTTACTTAACAATTTAGATGTTTTTGCTTGGTCCACGGCAGAAATGCCCGGCATAGACCCCGACATTATAACTCATAAGCTTAACACTGATCCTGTAGTTAGGCCCGTTAAGCAAAAGAAACGCAACCTAGCCCTAGAGTGGTGGAGGGCAGTCGACGAGGAGGTTGGGAAGCTCCTTGCAGCTGACTTTATCAGGGAAGCCCATTACCCGAGTTGGGTGGCCAACCCCGTCCTGGTGAAAAAGGCTAATGGTAGATGGCGCATGTGCGTCAACTACACCGACCTGAACCAAGCTTGCCCAAAGGACTGAGGACTGCTTCTCACTCCCTAGGATTGACCGCCTAGTGGATGCAACCTCGGGCATGAGTTGCTGAGCTTTCTAGATGCCTATTCGGGCTACAACCAAATCAGGATGGACCCAGCAGACGAGGAGAAGACTACCTTAATAACCGAGCTTGGCCTGTACTGTTACAAGGTCATGCCCTTTGGGTTAAAAAATGTCGGGGCGACCTTCCAAAGACTTGTAAATAAATTGTTCGAGCCATTAATTGGCCAAAAGGTGGAATGTTATGTAGACAACATGGTCATCAAAACTCGACTTTCTTGTGATTTAATACAAGACTTGAACTTAGTTTTTGAAATTCCGCGTAAATTCAGTATGAAATTGAACTCGAATAAGTGTGTCTTTGGAGTCACTTCGGGTAAATTCTTAGGGTATATTGTGAACCGGCGCGGCATCGAGGCCAAACGAGACAAGATAAAGG